TATCACCAATCGCCTCAACAATTTGACGATGAACTGGGCCATTTACTGGTCACTTTTATGACATGTTTGTCCTCTTCAGGACTTGCCTTGATGTCGTGGATGGTCTGTTGCTGGGACTTGTTGAGTCGTGATGCATTTTGGAGTGTATTCACCTATCTTCTTCTGCCCTTCAAATTTTTTTCCCAGATGTCGGTAGGAGCAGGACCAGTCCAGATTTGATGCTTAGCTATCTGGGTGGGGGGGGGGGGGATGCTTGGACCCTCTTATGAACACTGTCAGGTCTTATGTTGTTAATGCAGGGGGTCCACTGTCTCCTCGTAAATCTGAATGCGACGTGGTCCCATCTTTGGTCCTTGGTGGGACAGTGTTCCACATCCTCTCCTTAATTCCATGGGTAAGTGGAATTCTCCTTGTCTACTTGGTGGGGGAGTAAAGACAGCTGTTTGTAAATCCAGAAGAGATGAGTTCTGGGCTTTGGTGGAGTATGGCATATGATCTTATCAATCCAGACCTGGGATGTTGCCTTTTGGACTTCTTCAGGTTCATTAGAAGGATTGTCCATTTTGGTGTTGCTTTCTTTCTTTCATAAATCCGAGGGTTGGAAACACATCATTTTGTGGTTACTGGTAGGGATCCTATCACAAAGATGTATATATCTGTGATCCAACTGCCCCGGCTACCAACATCGGATATGGGTTCCATGACCCTTAAATCCAACCCGAGTTGTGGAACCTCAGCTGTTTGGTCGAGGCTGGACCATTATACTTGTATTATATTCCACCTATTTTCAATTTTCTATAGTTCTGGTGAAGAGCATACCTGTTCTGGATGTAGTGTGGTTTCCCCACTTTGATACCACTTCTCGTGGTACATATTTGTTCTCTGCAGGTGCATTCTGTATGTTCTGTGTCCTCACTGGTCCCTCAATGTGGGATTCTAGCTATTAGTGTCAGCAGAGGTATGTATGTTTTGGAAGTTATTTTCCTAAACTGAAAATGTATTTCCAAACATACTTACCACCGCTGATACTCTCCCTCCCCACTAAGAGCCGATGTTAGTGACCGGAATGAGTGAAAAAGTGCTTTTATTGTCTGCATACACTACTTATATACAGTACCTACATAGAAGGCATGTGAAGGCCTGCTTAAAGTTTTGTAAATTAGATGCTGCCAAGGGTAGTCGAGTGGGGTATATATAAAGACTGGAGCAAGCGAACAAAACATTAGATGGCAAAGATGAAGATTGAGAAATAGCTATTAGTGTCAGTGGAGGTAAATATGTTTGGAAATACATTTTAAGTTTAGGAAAATGATAATTTTTTCTTTTAGCTTACAGGAGACGCTGTTCTGACATTTCTGCCTTTGACACCTCCCCATACACTTTAAGGAATAGGTTAATTTTATTCAATATGATAGATCTGTGGGTTGTCAAGACACATAACTTTGTAATTTTTCAATATATTAAAGTCTGTCAATACGTGTAGGTTTACTTGTTATTTTAGTTTAGGTTTAAGTAGTGTTTACTAACTTTCTAATAACTAGTAATGCTTAGGAAGTTCATAATGTTGATAGTTGAAGGCCTGAGATGATACTAAATGTTTTATGCATAAAAGTGTGAACTTCTCATAGCATGTCTTTCTGTGAATTGTCAAACCATGAAAGCTTAGTGCTTTTGAATTATATGTAGGTATGTTTTAAACAACAATAAATGTTGTTTTCTTACTTTAAAGGGATATTGGAACGATATAGTGTTGACCCTCGAGTGGAAGAACTGAAATACAAGTTAACTGTTACAGGACCAGCTGCTGTGGGAAAGTCTTTCTTTATTTCCTGGTTAGCTGGATTACCACTACAAGAATCATATTATTCCACTCCAGGTTTAAAGTCATAGAATTTCATAACTATTATCCTAAAAACTCTAGAAGTTGTAATAATAGAAACATAATGTACATACAATTATTAGCTGTAGCAACAATTTTTCTATTTTTAAAATTACAGATCTTGCTTTATAAGGAAATAAAGTATTTGAATTTTTTAAACACATTTTAATGAATAATGCAAATTAGTTACTAAAATTTGTATAGGCTTGTGTTTTTCTAAAGATGGACAAAGGTTATATCTAAATATAGATATACACAAACAGAAACTACATTTTGACATGAAGGTTCTAAACCAGTTTGTTCTTATCGCTATCATGTGCTTGTGAGCATATAAACATTGTAGAGTAGAGAAAGGTGTGCTTAAATAAGTCAGTTTTTCATGAAATTATTTAATCATTATACTTATGTAATTAAAATTATAGTAATACTAAAAGTACTGTGTGAACAACTCTCTGAGTTGGTTACCTTGATTATGTAATACTAGAAGTACTGTGTGAACAACTCTGTGTGAGTTACTTACCTTGATTATGTAATACTAGAAGTATTGTGTGAACAATTCTCTGTGAGTTACTTACCTTGATTATAGTAATACTAGAAGTACTGTGTGAACAACTCTGTGTGAGTTACTTACCTTGATTATAGTAATACTAGAGGTACTGTGTGAACAACTCTGTGTGAGTTACTTACCTTGATTATAGTAATACTAGAGGTACTGTGTGAACAACTTTGTGAGTTACCTTGATTATATAATACTAGAAGTACTGTTTGAACAACTCTCTGTGAGTTACCTTGATTATAGTAATACTAGAAGTACTGTGTGAACAACTCTCTGTGAGTTACTTACCTTGATTATAGTAATACTAGAAGTATTGTGTGAACAACTCTCTGTGAGATAGTTAATATGATTATTATAATTATGGTAATATAACTAGTACTGTGTGAAAAGTTTTCACTGATTTAGTTATCTAATTATGATTATATGAATATTAATAACCCCATATGAAAGTTTTTTATGCCTTGTGTTATAAGTTTAACTACAGTTTAGATACAGTGTGCTTGAGTTACAAGTTTGCTTAAATCAACCATAGTATTATGGCTTTGGAAAAAGAACTGAATTTTTGTTACAATGGTAATATTTTCTGATGAAAAGGGTAACCAGCCTAGTGGTTAGGTTGCTCACTTTGCAATCTGAAGGTCACAGGTTCAAATCCCCATCCCATCAAACATGCTCACCATTTCAGCTATGGGAGCATGTTAATGTGATGGCCAATCCCACTATTCATTTGTGAAAGAGTAGCCCAAGGGTTGGTGGTGGGTGTTGTCAATAGCTGACTTCCCTCTAGTTTATCACTGTCAATAGCTGACTTCCCTCTAGTTTATCACTGTCAATAGCTGACTCCCTCTAGTTTATCACTGTCAATAGCTGACTTCCCTCTAGTTTATCACTGCCAATTGCTGACTTCCTTCTAGTTTATCACTGCCAATGGCTGACTTCCCTCTAGTTTATCACTGCCAATAGCTGACTTCCCTCTAGTTTATCACTGCCAATAGCTGACTTCCTTCTAGTTTATCACTGCCAATAGCTGACTTCCCTCTAGTTTATCACAAATTAGAGGCAGCTAGTGTAAATAACTCTCATGTACCTTTGCATAAAATTCAAAACAAACAAACAAAAAGGGTAACCATGAAACTTAACTGTTGAGCCTCATGAATCTTATTCAAATTAGTTAAAAGTGATAGACTTAATACATATACAGGGTGGGTACAAAAACTACTATTCCTAGGAGAACAGTTTCATTGAAACACAAGATTTATTAAGAAAGTTTGGGTATGCTACAAGATGTTTGAAAACATGGTTATATTTTATATATAAATTGTTGTTCTTCTACTGTTGCTCTTACTATCCCCCCCCCCTCTCTTTCAACCTATCATATTGGTGACTTGAATAAAATTCATGTCAGTGTGCCTGATATTGCAATTACCAATGAACACTGTTCAGTATAGATGATGCTTGTAGTAGCTTCCTTGGGGGTTTGTTTTGTTTTGAATTGGGTGCAAAGCTACACAAGGACTATCTACACTAGCTGTCCCTAATTTAGCAGTGAAAGACTAGAGGGAAGGCAGCTAGTCACCACCGCCAACTCTTAGGCTACTCTTTTACCAATGAATAGTGGGATTGACCATAACATTACAATGCCCCACAGCTGAAAGGGTGAGCATGTTTGGTGGGATGGGGATTTGAACCCACGACCCTCAGATTGCGAGTCAAGCGTTCTAACCACCTGTCCACCTTGAGGGACAGGCATGTTAATATGCTGATTGAGAATGATGGAAAGCTTATTGAACAGCACCTTTAACAGTTTTAAAATACCATGAACCAAGTTCAAACTTTTACTGAATGTAATTTATGATTCTCACTGTACTTCTTATGCAGTTTAATTCTGCTGGAGGTGGCTTTAAGACCTAATCATTTTAACTGTTGGGGTTTTATATGTAATCACCTTATGTCTCTAGTTTTTTGAAAACAAAAACAGTACTTGTAGTAAAAGAAAACATACATCATTGTTTGTTTATATTTGATAGCTAGTCTGTTGTAAGTCAGTGCTAATCCATTCATCAAGAGTGTTTTTCTATTACAGGTGTAAACGTCACCAATATATGCTGTCCTCATCGTCTTTTAGTTTTCCCAAGAAAAATGGTCCTTTTTTCACTGAAGTTTTTTGAAATAGGCTCTATTGCCAAGAGGAGTATTAGTGAGGTACTTTTTGCTGAATAGAATCAACATACATACTTGATTAACTATATTGAAACAGTATACTTATGTCTATAGAGGACGTGTTAACCTTACACAACCTCTTACCAAGACTGTTGAAACAGTGTACTTGCTATGGAAATGTTTAATTAGGTTGAGATTCAGTATGTTCACAGAAGATCATGAGTATAGAGTTCACCCTATACTCATGATCATAATCCTCTGTGAACATACTGAATCTTAACCTAATTAAACATCTCTAGAGCTCATGAAGGTATACGTACTATAATTATGAAAGTACTTAGTGTATCTATATAAAATTGGGCAAGGTTATAGTAAACAGTACAAGTCTTTTGTACACAAAAAATCTGATTTCTTAATTAAGTATTTTTACTAAACATTTGTCAGTGTTGACTGCTCTGAGTGCAAAGTGGTTTTTATATTAAGATTAAAGGTACTTTTGTTTATCTGAAAATTGTGAAATTTCATTTGCATAATCTCTAAAACTTCCAAAAGAAATATCTAACTTTTTATCAGTTATTTTCTCCACCCTAACTCTATACCCATTTAATCAAATCGACCAACTTAGTAACTGCCATAAAAAACACAAAATAATTCTACATTACCTTTTTTACTTTATGGAATGACTGAAAATTGTAATGTTAAACTACATTTGTTTATTCTAAATAGCTTAAAGCTCATAACAGTATACACCTGTGTCCAGGGGCATCGAGAGTCAGCCCAGGCCCCGGGGTCAGTAATATCATTGGGTCCTCCTTTCATTCTATTTATTACCTTTTGCTAATTTTTCATAAAAGAAATTTAGGTGACAAATTTCTGCTGTTGAATCACATGTTTTTCTCTAGTACTATTTCATTTAGTTGGTTGGTTATATTGTTTGTTGTGCAAATAACTATTTTGGTAATTCACTTTTTGCTAATATTTCTCTGAAGGTGTACAGAGGTTATGTTTTCACCCCTCTTTGTCAGCAAGATTTCTCAAAAATGGCTGAATGGATTTGGACTTAGGAGTGACTAGTTTTTGGGGGGTCAAGGTCACCACTATTTTACTTTACAACTCAGTCGGCTTACGTAGAATATTATTTCTCATTGTCTTGCCAAAAATGGCCATGTCGATTGATAATGACAGACATACATTTTTGTAGTTTTTGAGAGCCAAATATGATCAAATGATTATATAAAATATACTAATTCTTGGTTTTTATGTATTCTCGGTCATTTCTTTCTCCTGATAAATATACATTGCTTGGTTTGTTTCAGGAAAAACTCAGCGAGATGGACTGTATAATTACAATGTTTGACTTCACAGAGAAAGGTTCTTTGCAACTTATCCAAAAGGAAATACAGAAATTCTGCGAAAATGAAACACACAAGCCATGTTTTGTTTCTGTAGGTAGTAGGTAAGTATTGGGAGACATTACAGAGGGGTTTAATTATGCTCAGAAGAAAAATAACACTTGTATTTCAATATCAAACCAGTTCAGTGTTTTGTTTATTTGTCTAAGTCATATTACCCATTGTGTCCAACTTTTGTTTGGTAGAATGTATATACAAGATTAAAAAAATATTTTAATGTCTTCAACATCTAAATGATATATTTAATGTTTAATCAAAGTTAAACTATAGTAAGACAAGACGTGAATACAGTAGTTGACAGCCAGCCACAATATTTCTTTTGCTACAATAGAAATATCAATCTTAACCATTTCTGTTGCCTCCTGGTGGCTCAGCAGTAAGTCTGTGGATTTATAATGCTAAAAATTTGGTTTTGATACCCACAATACTCCATTCTGTAGCTTTGTGTTTAATAACAAACCCTTTCTGTTGTCGTGTAAAAATTTATAGAAGATGACATGCGTTAGATAACTGGAAGTTATTCTGATCACTGAGCTGACATACCATCCACAGTGTTAAATGTTAAAGTAAAGATATGTGTGTGTATTTCCAAACTTTAAATATAATTATACTTGTCATAAGACAAATGTTGAGCAGTTAAAGTGCAGGCTGAGTGTAAATAACATGATTACTTCAGTAGTGGCCATGGTACAAGATCTCTTCCATTTATAATGTCTGATTTAAATAACATTTGTAGTAACTTCATAAAACTAAAGGATGTGTGACAGAAACTAAACATTGGAGTTGGTTGCAATTACTGGACTTGGAATTTCAGTTTACTATTCCATCATTGAGTTAGGAGACAATATATTTAGAATAATAGCAGAGAGACAAAGTTTACTTTAAACCAAGCTAGAGAAATTGGCTAATTCTGAAATGATTCCTATTATATCACTTATTTAATTTATATTTTTTTAAACCAATTTAAGTTAAAATATTTGTTTTTCTAATACTGTCAAATGTATTTAAAATAAAAGTCTTCACATCAATTTTCCAGATGGAACTTACAAGAACCAATGATGATCAACCAACAGGATATTGCTTTTTTTGAGAAAACCCAGAAAGTGCCAATTATTAAAGTGCCACAAATTTCCCCTAAAAATATGTGGCTCTCGGAAAAATCTGCCATTTTAACTTTTTTATGTGAACAGCTGTATCTTCGGGATCAAGCTCTACTTACACACTGTCCAGTGTAGTTATAAAGAAAAAAGTTTAATGATTGTATACAAGCAAGTGATTTGTATTAGAAGTATTTAAATCGACACGCGTATCAGTGTAACATGTTTGTCTTAACCACATCTATATTCACTAGATTTGGCTATTTATCACAAAACTATTTCAGAAATTTGTTACTCACAATTGGAATATATAATATACATTTTCTTTGCTAAATACTTCAAGTTCCTTAGAAAGGAGTTGGAAATGTACAAAAAGCCTTTTAAGTTTAAAATAATCTACAACCAAATAAAACAAATGGAATCTCTCAACAAAGGCTTTAATACTTTACTCCAACATCATGTGTTTAATGGTTTTCAAAAGTTATATCAAACCACATTTCATAATCTCGAAACAAACTACAATTTTTCTCAGACTCCCATCTTTATTTTTTAGAGGTTAATATACACAAATCCCTTATCAATAATTCACTTGTTCCTCAAGCTTCATCCTGCTCTTCAGATCTTAGAACATCTTGGTACTGAGACGTCCACTGTTCAGGTTTCATGTTATTTCCATATAACTAATAATGAAATAATAACCAATTAAAATATTTAAACTTAATCAACTTTTTTATTCAAATAACTAGCAATATAAGTGTAATTAATTATAACAAGATTGTTTCACAAACATTAGACTACTTCAATAACTTGCAGCAGAAGCATTCAAATTATAGTTGTAGAACGTTTCACCACACATTATCAGGAACATTCACACAACTTACAGCATCATAATTATTAAACACAGAGATAGGACAATTGGATGGATTTATTATACAGTGAAGGGCAGCTGGATCAACTTGTTTAGACAGAGGAGACATCTGGATGAGTTTATTAAACAGACAGATAAGGGACAGCAGGATGTTTTCTATTTTGTTACATACGTTACTTTCTCAATACTAGGAATTAAATATGATTGGATTCCCTTACACGTTCAAGTATGAAGAAGGAATGTTAATGTTCGAGTCTTGTACTTAATACATCACACGCTGATCCAATATGATGACGTCTGTATCTTTACAATGAACCTTCTACATACAACATTAAACTTCCCACTTTGGAAATGTCTTAGAAATAAGTAAAGGTAATTCTTACCTTTAACTAAAGTAAAAATAAACTATCACATGATTTTAAATCATCCTTAGAAACATTAAAACAGTAGATCATACAGTAAACAATGGTAAGTCAGATCTTTGTGTTTTAGAAAGTCATTAATAACATTTTAAACAAAACTAGTCATTTCTTTCATCTATGTCACTACACATGATTTGTGTTAAAAAATTAGTGTTTTGTTATTTACTTCTGTCATACATAGGTTTTAAACCTTTCAACAGTTCTAAGGACCACTGCCAGTAGTAAGATACTATGAAGTTGTACATTCAGTGAAAACCTACATCACACCAGTTAGGTACCAGAAAGTTGTACATTCAGTGAAAACCTACATCAACACCAGTTAGGTACCAGAAAGTTGTACATTCAGTGAAAACCTACATCAACACCAGTTGGGTACTAGGAAATTGTATATTATGATCACAACACACTTTTAGTTGGTATAAAACAAAATCTTAAAAAGTTTTAAAATACCAAATGTGTGGTCATGACTAAATTTTCAGGTATTTTACTTAACATTTTCCAGTTGAATGGTAACTTTCAAACTACATAGCACAATAGACCAAAACAGTACAGACCCATTTCTCTAAATCTTTAACAATTAAGTAACTGATGGTAAGTCCTGATTAAACCAAACTAACTATATATCCCAAATTAAAAATTTACTTGCATAGCTAATCAAATATACTGTTTGCACTATCTTACTTAAAATGCATTGTTTCATCAGTTAATAATATTCTTAACTATAAACTCAGTAACATCTCATGACGTTCTCTAGTCCACGAGACTTAGGTTGCAAAACTAACAATGCAAAATAATCATTGTAATAAAATTACAGACAAAGTAAAATTAAAAATAAAATTAAGTATATCAAATATTCTAACCAATACTACGAGTCAAGTAGGAACTACCACACTTAGAAAAGTTTCACTTGTTTAAGCTACAGTAGTTTATTTATAAAATCTGATTTATTTACAATGTTTATTTCTTACGATACTCCATTGATTTCAGTATCAAAGCAGACTAAATTTCATTTATTTAAATCACTTTCTAATGGGTACAAAGCATAAGATTACACCTACGTAGCACACAAATTCAAGTAATTCTTTCTTAGACAGTTCAAGTTCAGCTCGTGGACCCCAACGGAACTCGTACAAGGCAGGATCTGAACCTGGTATTCGGGTATACTCCATATACTGCTGGCGAACAAATTCTTGAGTTACTAACTTCTTTATGTCACCAAATAATGGGTGAGGACCTACCCTGCAATATTAAGTTTATTATAACATTCTTTCTTGTTCTTGCACTAGATAGAAAATCCATTTATACAATTTTAAGCCTACATTGATTCATAAAACAGGGAACACATTTTCATCGTGAGAGTAAAGACTTCAAATACTACGGACCTGATTAAATATTTCAGGATTTAACCTGCCCGAAACATGGTTTACCAATGGAAATGTCTATTCATGTTGCTAATACTTTTACAACAACGGTTACATTAAGACAAACAACTTTAACAATGTTTAAATATTTTAATGTAGATTATCAGTGAAAATATCTTAAAAAAACAGAGTACGATAAGTACTAAAAAGCAGTTTAAAAAATCTTTAACGTCAAACTATAGACTACAATTAGTTTTATATATTTTTGATTAAGATCTTAATATTAAAAACATTATCATCAGGCCTAAAATTTATGATGAAAATCGTGTAAACTGAAGATTGTTTTCCATATCCCTCTTAATTTGTCCATTTCAGATTCAAAATCAGAGGAAAGTAAAAATAGCATTTCAGATGTCATCCACAAGCCCTTCACCAGCTATTGGCATTAAACCACAGCTTTTCCAACAAATATTTGACTTAAATGATTTATTTCGTTAGCAGTTACATAAAAATTCAAATATTTTGTTAATCGTAGTTTGTAAGACACACAGAGAAACATATAACAGTCGTACAATGCTCTAATATTTTATATTTACTTAAATGATGCTACCATAAATTTATGAATGTATAATAGTTAAATATTGTTCCAAATATCCTCAAATATTATTTCTCACAATTGAAACAATTTTTTTTGTTGCTGTTTAACCACCAAACTTTTCATTTTAGCCAATAATATTCATATCGGGACATTCTGCAGACCAAGCCATGGTTTCAAGTGTTCTGTTAGTGTCCTTTTTAATATTTTTCACTCTGTTTACACTGACTGTCAACTGTTCTCCTCTCTGCCATCAAACATTTTGAATTCATCTATAAAGAGCACACACATTCTTTCCTTCAGCTTTGGTCATTTGTTTATTCTGATGTCTATTTCAGCTTGTTGGTTTATTCATCTCTCATGGTTTTTAGTGGCTACACATCTGACAACTTTGTGCTAATCTAGATCTCACTGTTTTGGAGGTAAAATTTGCACCTGTACTTACAACTTGCAGCCGATCATGGTCAACTATCAATATGTGACTATTCTCTGATGCAGTTATTGTATCATATAATAAAGGGAAAGCAATCCCATAATGCTTGCATTTTATACCTATTGTATTTACTACTTTCATATATATATATATATATATATCTGCTTGTTTGTTAATTTCCGGTATAAACTCTTTCCAAGGAATTTCAGCAATACAAGTCCCTTCTTGATTAAAACTAGTTTATTCTTTCTCTATACAACTTTGTAATTTCACAGTCAATACGTTTCTCGTCTCTTTACTTAACAACTTTTATAATATATGCTATAAATCACAGCGATTCACAAACTCAATAACTTTGCTCTATGCAACGACTGCAGGCTTATATAATAAAAAAGGGGGCATCCAGATCACATTCGAGCTGCCGGGCAAATTCATGATCATTCAAAAAACTCCAGCGTGCATGCTTCCAGCATCACGCGACTTCTCCTGTCATAACAATATAAACACACACTCACTATATTTACATATATTTCATTCTATTGATTTACAAAACTGGTATGTAGACTACATTTAAATATTTACATACTCATGGTCAAGTCCAAGCCTCTTCAAAGTGGTCCACATGACGTCTGCACAGTGAAGGATCCCAAAAATTAAAATTAAACACTGAGAAGAGGATAAATTGGAAAAACAAACAAACTCACTGACCACTAAAATATGGGCTAAATTAAAAGTAATTATTTTTGTGAAAATAAATAATTACATATATTTTAAAAGAAGTACATACCTTATTGTAATGTTACTATCATTAGAAACGTATGATACAAAAAATGTATTGAAGACCAATATTTTGTTGAATGTTCTTAAACTTACTACTCATAAGGAACAATTTAGTTTATACATTTTCCCCCATCTTACAAGCCATTTAATCTCATTTTTATCCCATTATACACACTGTATTCTAATCCAATCTTCCTCATTCTATGAGCCGTTTATATCCTCCTATTTACTTCATCTTATAACTAATCTTAACATCCTCATATTTACCTCGTCTTACAACCCATTAATTCTAATCTTATCTACGTTTTCCTCTCACATCCGTCCAGGTTATAATTTGTTTCTGTGAATCATCATCCTTTATAACAACAAAGTATATGCAAACAAGTAATAAAGTATCCCAGTGAATAAGCTGATTTTTCTTCCCATTCCCTATAAGATAACTAAATATATCCCACTAATAAGTTGAACATGTGGAAACTTACTGTCTAGTACCACGTTTCCATTCATGAAAATCAAAGACAAGATGAAAAAAAGAAGTCCAGTTTTTCCATTTTCTTCTTCAGACCTTTCGTTATTAGAAAGATGAATACAGTTATAGCAAGACTCATTTCTTACATGAATATGAAAGTGGCAATTTTATGTCACAAACCTTACGAAGTACTAAAAGTTTTATGTATCACACAATCTTTCATTTTAAAGAAAGATGTTTAGAATGTAAACAAACTATTTAGCTATTTCAATCAAATTTATCTTTCACTTGTCATTTTTATTCTAAAAAAAAAAAAAATTAAACCGAAACATCAAAATTAAATGGTGATTATAACTGTTTATTTAATGCTTATTAATCTGTGAAAAACAATACAAGTAGGATACAGTCACCATCAAACAACGAGGTTTTAACTTACGTACTTCTAACGACATTACACTGCCACATCCCCCACACTGCTGATTACTGTTATATAATATCCTATATTTCTGGTAACACATATCAAACCAAATCACTAATTAAGTTCTCAGTTAAGCTGACTTAACAATGTGGATTTTGTACACAATTTTGGAACTTATTTTAAGACCCAACAGTCATTTTCACTCAATTCTGAATGTAGGAATGTTCATTTTAAGTATGTGGCTATGAATCATTAAACTAAACTTTAACGTACCAGTTACAACATATACAAATTTTCATCTAGGTATTACGTATTATACAGTCTACAGATTTAAATTACATATTACACAATCTAGAGATTTAATAAATATCTCCATTCTAATCATAATACAAATTATTTTTAAAGAAATAACATACATGACAAAACATGCAAACTAATCAATATTTGAGAAGCGAATGTGATAATAACTTAATACATATGGAATTAACAAAGATAGTGCAACGTTTTTGGTTATAATCAACACTTGTATATTATTAGATAACTGTTATTAACACATCCTACCAAGTTAAAGTGAAGACTGGCTATCAATAAATTTTCATTATTAACACATCCTACCAAGTTAAAGTGAGGATTGGCTATCAATAAATTTTCATTATTAACACATCCTACCAAGTTAAAGTGAGGATTGGCTATCAATAAATTTTCATTATTAACACATCCTACCAAGTTAAAGTGAAGATTGGCTATCAATAAATTTTCATTATTAACACATCCTACCAAGTTAAAGTGAAGATTGGCTATCAATAAATTTTCAACATGGTGGTAAACTTCACTCACCAGTTCAATGTATGTTCACTGAATTCAGTTTTCACATCTAAATCATTTAGCAACAGATATAGACCAGGTCTACTGTGAAGTTCAATCAAATTCATTCCAAACACCTGTAAAACACAAAGCAGTTCAACTGTTGTTTTTTTTGTTTTATATATTCTCTATAGGTCTTGCTTGTATGTTAAGCATAAAGTTATACAATGGGCTCTCTGTGCTGTGCCAACAATGGGTATCAAAATCAGGTTTTTGGCATTATATGCCTTCAGACTTACAACTCTTTCTTGGTATTACACAAATATCTTTAGTCATGTTTGTCTAACTGCTGATAAAAGATACAAAAAACAAGGGAGAGAAATATTTAAAAAAGGTAATTACACTGTTCATTTAAAAAAGTAAGATATAACTCCAACAAAACTTGTATGATGATACATCACTGGCTGATGAAACATGCCGATTGATATCACTGGCTGATGAAACATGCCGTGTGATATCATTAGCTGATGAAACATGCCGTGTGATATCATTAGCTGATGAAACATGCCGTGTGATATCATTAGCTGATGAAACATGCTGTGTGATATCACTAGCTAATGAAGGAGATGAAACGTACTGAGTGATATCATCACTAGCTGAATGAAGGAGATGAAACGTAACTGAGTGATATCATTAGCTGATGAAGGAGATGAAACATACTGAGTGATATCACTAGCTGATGAAGGAGATGAAACATACTGAGTGATATCACTAGCTGATGAAGGAGATGAAACATACTGAGTGATATCACTAGCTGATGAAGGAGATGAAACGTACTGAGTTATATCATCAGCTGATTCCCAGCATGATTTGAAATTTTGGTGAACTTATTGGTTCCACAGAAATCTGCAAGAGCATTAATAGCTCCATCTGGAGGTTTTCATCAAAAACAGAAGCCTCAAATGTATGTTGTTTATGAGAAACCTACAGATAAAATATACGACGTTACCAAAAAAAAACTTTTGATGTTTATTTAGGAGGCCCTAGAGATTATGCAATATAAGATATGAAAAACTACAAAACTCGCAGGCTACTGCCGCTATTGAACATGTACATACACGTAAAACTACAAAACT